ATGGTGTTATATTTATTTATTTATTTATTTATTTTGCGGAACCAGGGATTGAACTCAGGCCCTTGCGCTTGCCAGGAAAGCTCTTATTCTACTGAGCCATCTCCCCGGCCCCTATAATTTTATTTTAAAAAGAATGTGCAAGTACAGATAAATAGGTAGCAAAATATTAAACTTCTATTTGGTCTGTTTCTGTTCTTCAAAGGGAAGAAGGTAAAGCTGAGCATGAGAGCTCACATGCATCTTTTTGTATCTAAATAGAACTAATGTCACTCCATTTGTTCCAATCAGCAGCATGAATGCCAAACCTTCTGATGCCACATAGTATTTCTTCATAAATCTCCTTGTCAGAGTCAAATACACTGATTTAAAACGGCCAAGCAATTTTTTGTTTTGTTTCGGTATTTTCTTTTTTAGTACCAAGAATCTATCTCAGGACCTTGCATTTCCAGGCAGACACTGTGCTGCTGGGCTATATCCCGGGCCCCTGACTATATATCTTAACATAAAAAGAACACCAAACGTGTCATTAAGTCACAGATGCAGGGGGTGTGGGAGTTTTTTTCTCCTAGAATTGACTTCAAAGCTATGGATTTGTGTTATATTTATGCACAAAAAAACCCCAAACTGATATTCTAGTAGAGTTTAAAACACTTTAAATGTTTAAACATTTATAGTTTAAACATAGCAAATGTTTTCAAGGATGTGAAGAAAGGGGAATCAAGGGCCGGCCCATAGTTCAGCAGATTAAAGCACCTGCAAGCAGGCGCAGGGGCCAGGGGTTCAATCCCTGGGTCTGCCATGTGGACTCCGCCCCCGGGGCATGCTGAGATGGCAATTGAGACTGGGCATGGCGGCGTGCACCTGTAATCCCAGCTCTTAGGAGGCTGTAAACAGGCAGATAAATACGTGTCCGATCTAGTAGTGAGACCTTGAACACCCTATAGACTCTTCCTTAAAAAAAAAAAAAAAAAAAAAAAGAATGAAGGGGAATCATTTTAATTGATGGGATGTAAATGAGAATACCAGTTAAAGGAAAGGGCACTGAGGTTCCTCAAGAAATCAAAAATAAGCCAGACAGCTGGATGTGGTGACACCTGACTGTAACCCCAGCACTCAGGAGCTGAGGCAGGAGGATCACTGGCGCCAAGGAGATCAAGAGTAGCCCATTTGGGGCCGGGGAGATGGCTCAGTGGAATAAGCGCTTCTCTGGCAAGTGCAAGGGCCTGAGTTCAATCCCCGGTTCCGCAAAAAAAAAAAAAAAAAAAAACCCAACTAGCCCATTTAACGTAAGACCCCACTCAAAAATTGTATTAAAGGCTGGTGAGATAGTTCAGTGGACTAAACACCTGTTTCGGCAAGCCCAGGGACCAGGGTTTGAGCCCTAGTCCTGCATGCTGTGATGGCCCTGCCCACAGGGCACGTGCTGAGCTAGCCAGAGTCCAGGCGTGGTGGTACTGGCCTGTAATCTTAGCGCTGGGGAGATTGAAACACGAGGTTCACTACCTGAGCTGTGTAGTGAGACCCTGTACCAAATACAAAACAAAAACAAAAACAAAAAGACCAAAGAAAACAACAACAACAAAATTTAAAAATACAACTACCACTATGATCCAGCAATGTTATTAATGGGTAGATAGCCAAAGAAACTGAAATCAGAATCTTGCAGAGATATTCACACTTCCATTTTTACTGAAACACTATTCATAACAGTCAAGAAATGAAGTCAACTTAGGTATCCCTCAAGAAACAACAAAAATGTGAGATATGTACCTATATACATACACATGCATATACTCACACACACAGGATTTCAAAGAATGAAAGAAATCCTATTTGTGACAAGATAGATGACATTAATATGTCTGGGGACATATTAATTGATAAAAG